CATAAATTTATCGAACACATTATTTCCGACGACTAATTATTTATATATTTATTTATTCAACTTTTTTAACAGGGTTACCTTTCAGTTAGGCTGATATTAAAGAACCCATTTTACACAGCACTAACATGTTATGAAATAGACCAACAAAAACATCACCATTAAGCAAAAATAAGGCCAATCAAAATATAAAACATATGAATAATAAAGATCTTTAATTTTAATTCCAAATATATTTAACCACAAAATATAGAAAGGAAAAGAAAACAGATACGTGCAAGAAGATTAGTGTGATACACAACATATAATAATTATTATTACCACAATGTTCTGTCTTCTTCTAAAAAATACTTGTTAGTCTTGCTCGTAGAGATGCGATGCTGTTTAAGTTTAGTTATTTTCAGTATCACTATCAGCCAAGATTATAAGCTGGTTGAAATTTAATGGAAAGCGCGAGGCGGCAACATCTAAAGTGTTTAAAACAATCGAATCGAATAAACCATGTATTCAAGACATTACAGTGTATAAGAAATAAACAACTTTTGGTTGATTACAGACGAATTTCTTGATAGGCATACATAGCTGAAATAAACTGTGATAAATATAGGCTATGCATGTCGTTAATTATAATTATAAAAAAAAAACCGCGCTTGGGGTTTTCTGACCATGGACCTATTAATACTAACTCACTGGTGAAAATAACAAAGAAAAGATATCGTAACTTAAAATCAATGAACCTTCAAAACAAGATAGTAGCCAAGCTGCTGAAAATGTTTACGAACTAATAGTTTTGAATGGACACGGCTTTTGAGTGTAGCGATGCATCGGCATATCATAGAATAAATTCTGACAAAACTTAGCAAATTTCTTTAAAAAAAACGAATCAGTCGAAACGAATTCATTTTAAATTTCTTTAGGAGACAAAATGTCAAGTGTTTACGTAGGTATTTGAAGTGGTAGACAAATATGATCCGTATGTAGATTATATGTTTTCCTCAGGGTATTATAGAAAATGTCTTGATTAGAATTGGCAAAAGAAGTTTTTAATTATTTTTCCTGACCACTGTTTGTTTGAGTACCATGAGTACCTTTTATGGTAATTTTTATAATACTTTTTATGAATTCTCTGTACAGCAACTAAGTTAAACATTTTAAATTTTAATGCATTTTATAACTAAATATTCTAATTTTAATTCAATTCGTTCCATCTCCATAAAAAAATTATTATTGTCTTGCTTTGTGTTTTGATTTTTGAATATTGTATTTTTTTTTATCAAGTGACGAAATAATGAAAAGAAATGGAGAAGAATTCGATGGAGAAACACATGTATACAATCTTCACGAGTCCATTAATATATAATCATATATGTCGGCATGTTGTCCCTTTGTCTAAACACAGAGATGTTTAAACACCTCTCTGGTAGTATGACATTTCAATTCGTAGAAGGCCTCAAACTAAAAAAAAAACAGTTTCAATCAGATGCATTTATTATTTATTATCAATATCATCACGTCGTATTTGTTCTTGTTCCTGTGTTTATGATTATAGTTATGGTTATTCTGTTTCGTATAGTGGTATCATCAATATTTCTATATAGTTTTTGGTGGAAATTTTCTCTGATGCGCAAAAAAAAAAAAAACACAAATTTTTCATTTATGTTATGGTAGAATCTCATTACTTCACTTAATATAAAGAATATTCAATTATTTTATAGGTGTTGTGCTCGTTTATAAACGTATAAATTAGAAAGGTTATCAAAGTTTTAAGATTTCTCCATAACATGTAACCGATGATGAACATAATATTAATACCGTAACGAACTAGGTACAGGGGAAGATGAGCTACACGAAGTCAATTTGATTACAGTTTGGAATTAGGAATGATTTTATCTATAAACTAAATAACAAATCCAGAGTTTTCATTCTTGAGGTGATTTAGAAAAAATATCACATCAGATGTTGTACTTAAATTGTATTTTCATAATTGATGAAATTGGAATAGTATAGCCTAAGCTATACTTAACAAATTACATTTCATTATAGTATATTACATAGGCAATCTGATGGTGTTTAATAATCGTAATTGTGTCGCATATTATAATCAAGGTCACGGTTGATATTGTTGTTCTATTGCAAGCTCATAAAGGCGATTCCAATATTAGAGGGTGATTTAAGTTTCAATATAGATCACAGGCCTGGTTATATACCAACTTTCAAATATGAAAGCATTTATTCAATACATGAGACCATATTGTCCTGTTTTTCACCTCACGCAATTCACCTCTCAGTGATCGTTATAATAGATAGCCGGAAATGCCTTTAAAAGTGCATCGCTCCTATTATTATAATTACAACAAATCGCAAACTACATTTTGTCTTCTCTATTAAACTAATTAATTTACACATTCAATGTATTACATCCTTTGAATAAAATTTCTTTTTTTTTTTCAGTATGCTGAACTAGTTTTCTTTATTGTAATTTTAGCTTTCATTGCAGCTAATGTATTTTACACTACTAA